CCATAGGCTCTAAGCCTCTTAGCGTAGCACGAAAGTGTAAAACATCTTACGACCACTGACTTAACGTAATCTCACTTACATGAATTCAAAGGGGTGGCGATTTGTTTAGTGGCGTCACCTTGAGCCGTGTGCAGTTGGAGACGCCCCACACCCCCATGATGTCCGTGGTTCCTTCAGTAGTGTGGAACTTGGCTATAATGGATTTGTTGTTGCACTGTCGTTGGAAAGATACCGTTTGCCTTACACATGAGGGGTAGAGGTAGAAACTGCTTATTCATATACATTTAGCGAACAGGGGTTCTTTCTCTAACTTCAGTATACGGTTGTTTTTCAGTGGAAAAAATCTTTATTACTCTTTGCCTTATCTGTCGATTTGCCTTTATAGTTGTCCACGTATAATGTATGCGTTGTTTTCGCTATTTTTAGAGCAGTTATTCCTATGCCACACAACAGCACCAATGGCTGAAACATTTTGGCAGCATATTTCAATAAGAGCAATTAGTGTTAAAAAATGGACATGGGAATTGAGGAGACCAGCGTTGTGATGCAGTAATTAAGCTGGTGTGTTTTGAATAGGAAAGAGCGGAGTAGTAGCGCGAAGATGTCTGTTTTCAAGCTCGTATCTACGCCTATCTATCTATCACTTTTGAGTGGTGGATATCGACCGAAACCGAAATAGTCCGATTCCAGATACAAAGGGCAGAAATTTGGTATCTTAAAAAAGGTTGCTGGTTTGACGAAACTCATCGAAGTTCGGAAAACGATTGCACATCATATTCTCGATGAAGACTTCTCTGATTTGTCCATTTAGTGACAGACTGGAACCATTCACAAAGCCTCCTGAGACCAGGTGTCTCCGGCATCCCGGAAGTAATAGTGATCGTGAGTATTGAACGAATAGGCCTTTATTGCTAATGCTTTGTCTGCTCAAATTTTGAGACAGATACGGTCTTCCAATTTTCAGCATTTCATATGTATTGATGATGTGCTGAAAGATGCTTCATTCTGCTTTCAGCACCAGCACATAACAGCGAAACAATTATTATATGATAACTATAGAATGCAGGATAGATACGACA